TTTTTTTTTGAGACGGAGTCTTGCTCTGTAGCCCAGCCTGTAGTACAGTGGCACAGTCTTGGCTCACGTCATCCTCCGCCACCTGGATTCAAGCAATTCCCCTGCCTCAGTCTCCTGAATAGCTGGGACTAAAGGAAAGTACCACCACACCCAGGTAATTTTTTTGTATTTTAGTAGAGATGAGGTTTCACCACGTTGGCCAGGATGGTCTCTATCTATTGACCTCGTGATCTGCCTGCCTCGGCCTCCCAAAGTGCTGGGATTACAGGCATGAGCCACTGCACCCGGCTTTTATTTTATTTTATTTTTTTGAGACAGAGTCTTACTTTGTTGCCCAGGCTGGAGTGCAGTGGCATGATCTTGGCTCACTGCAACCTCCACCTCCCAGGTTCAAGTGATTCTCCTGCCGCAGGCTCCGGAGTAGCTGAGATTACAGGCGTGAGCTAACATGCCCAATTGATTGATTGATTGAGACAGAGTTTCATTCTTATTGCCGGGCCTGGAATGCAGTGGTGTGGTCTTGGCTCACCACAACCTCTGCCTCCTGGGTTCAAGCAATTCTCCTGCCTCAGCCTCCCAAGTGAGTGCGCCACCACACCCAGCTAATTTTATATTTTTAGTAGAGATGAGGTTTCTTCACATTGACCAGGCTGGTCTTGAACTCCTGACCTCAGGGATCCGCCCGCCTCGGCCTCCCAAGTTGCTTGGATTACAGGCATGAGCCACCATGCCCAACTAATTTTTTAATTTTTAGTAGAGATGGGGTTTCACCGTGTCGGCCAGGGTGGTCCCGAACTCCTGACATTGTGATGCCTCCTCGGCCTCCCAAAGTGCTGGGATTATGGGCGTGAGCCGTTGCGCCTGGCCTAAATTGCTTTTTTTAATATAAATTAAGATTTAATTTACATGCCATCAAATTTACCAGGTTTTAACTGCAGGATTTTAGCCAAGTGTCCTGCTGCAAGCTGCCAGTATATAACATAATGCAGGCATGTGAGGTCCCACTGGAAAGGGAGTTATCCAGGCTGGGAGAAAAACTTGAGTGAAATGGGCACTTGCATGAAACCTTATTGCTGTTCCATAAATCTACCTTCCAATCTTATGAAAAAATGAATATCATCTGAAATTGTTTCGTTTGGTTGTTAGAAAAATATTTAAAATAATTATTTGAATGCTTTAGAAATGAATGTGTTGTCATTCGTAGTTAGAATTCAGTTGTGCAGTCTACTCAAAATGAGACAAAATGAAGCATTACTCATGTTTTCAGGTGTATACAAAACTATCTTCATTTTGGGTGATAGGAAATACAAGTTGAAACATTTACTTTGGGCTAGATAAAATTTAATGTGAATGTGTTGGCTGTGGATTTTAGTTCCAAATGAGGTAAAAAACTGAATTGTTAAAAGAGTTGCATCTATTCTTTCATAGTCTGGAATCTACCTCACCCTCATTCTTTGTGCTGAGTTACAAATGAGGCAGCAAGATAACAAGTATACCTGTTAAGCAAGTGTATATGTCCCACTGGTTTTTCTTTTTGGAGTTTAATGCTGGTATTTTTCTTTTTTTGAAGAATCTGTTTTGTGAGGTTTTGAATTTTCCTAGCAACTGCTAGGAGAGATAGGAAAGATAGTGAGCTGAATGGCCGGTATTCAACACAAGAATAATGGTGTTCTTTATTTACGTTTGCATAATTTTAAAGAGAGCAAGTTTATTTATCTTCTACTTGTTCTTTCCCCGTTGCAAAAACTCAGTAGGTGTTACTAGACTATTCTGAAATATAAAATATTCTGAAAAGCATTCTTCTAGTGATATTTCTGTGGTTTCTCATTCATATTTTCTCTTTTGTTACCTCACTTAGAGCACCTGGGTTTTGTAATGGACACTGCTTAGAGTAGATAGAAAACCTGCTTAGAATATTGATTTTCTATAGTTCCTTCTTTTTTTCTTTTTATTTTTTTAAGAGACAGCATCTTACTCTCTCACCCGGGCTGGAGTGTAGTGGCACAATTGCAATTCACTGTAGCCTGAACCTCCTGGGCTCCCCGCAAATAGCTGGGACTACAGGAACTTGCTACCACGCCTGGCTGATTTTTAAGTCTTTTGGGGGGAGATGTAGTCTCACTTTGTTGCCCAGGCTGGTTTTATACCACTGGGCTCAGGCAATCCTCCTGTCTTGGCCTGTCAAAATTCTGGGATTATGGGTATGAGCCACCATGCCCAGCCTTTCTTACAGTTCTTTATCTCTGTGTGAACACTCAACGTTTTGTCATTTTGGAGATCCTCAACATTGAGTCATGTATACTTTGTGAATGTTTACATTGAGTTATTTAGGAGCATCTGGAAGAATGTTCTTGAAAAATTAGAGGAGGGCCAGTCATGTAGGAGGAGCTGAGTTTCTTCAGGGCTCCACCCATCTCCGTGGGGTTGCAGAAGACCTTTGTGCCCTCCAAACCGTATTTCTCTTATGGTTGTTTTGTCATTCTTTCCATCTCATCCTGATTTTATGGCTGACGTGATGAGAATATTCAACAGGTAGAACGTGAGATTTAGGAAAAGGGTCTTGACTCTTGACAGCTACACTTCTGAGGTGAGATAATTTTTATGAGGTGAGATCACTTTTTTACCATACTTGCTGCTTTGACTGTTGAATAACAAAATACTGCTCTCATAATGAAACTACTTTGTTTTGCTGCCTTGGGGAGAACACAGCAATAGAAAAATAGCCACATCTTATTCAAGCTCTTCTTGATTTTTGTTTTGGCTGTTTCTAAATTTGACACTTGGGAATAGATGGTTTATTTGACTCAGTATGACCCAGGTATGCTTTTGTTAAAAAGAACAGTTCTAGAAGGATGACTGTTGGGACAAAATTAGCTACTAGTCTGGGATACTCTTTCAGTGTAAAATCTCAACAGCATTTAAAAATCATTAGAGACATTTTATTCATAAACATTTTCTTAATAAGATCCAGAAAGGGTTTTGAAAATTATTTTGTAGCTAGTTTGGTCTTTGAATAGAAAGACTGTGAAAAGTAATGTAACTAATGAAAACTGCAATTACTATCATTGAATGTTCTTTTTTTAGGCAAAACAGTGATGTTTAAAAATTCAAACTAGGGAACTAAATGATCAGTATTTGTTGAGTACATTATAACAACCCTCAGAGAGCTTTCTTAATGTCTGGGATTAATGTAATCCTTTGTTTTTTATTCTGATAGAGATTTAAAAAGTTATTCTCATCTTCAAATTCCAATAAACCTATTTGATAGAGGGAAATAGGAATAGGACACATTGCTTTTTACTTTCTGCACACGTGTGGAAACCGGGGATCTATTCTCTCCCTCTCAATTTACATGACCATGAGGAAACTGAAACCCAGTGAAGTTAAATGACTTGCCTGGGGACAGCCAGCCAGCTAGTTCCTACTTGAACTGGGGACCATCTATTTGATTACCGGGAGTGCCTTTGGTTTCTGCTGCCTGTTTGATACTCAGTCTTCTCCTGGTAAGTTTTAGCAGCAAATGGTACTGGCCACACGACAGCCCTTAGTCTCAGGTAATTCTCCACCCCTCTGCCTTTTTTTTTTTTTTTTTTTCCAATGCAGTTGCATGGTGTGAAGGCGATAACTGCAGAAACTCAGGTGTCAACAACCCCGGGAATCAAAGGTTTGGGGGGGATGGTAAAACAAGAGTGTGTGGACATGACTGTGTACAATAGCTTCCAAAGTTTGGGAGGGTATTGGTGTAGCTGTTATTTCTGAGGCTGGAGAAAATGGCAGTAGAGTGACAGTTTCGCTAAATCATCAGTTTTCAAAGAGCACGTTTTTCATGGGAACGACAGGTATAGTACACTTTACTACATAAGGGGGAAAAACCCTTGAATTTTTCTCTCCCATACATTGGAAAGTAAAGTAAATTTTAGGCAACATTTTAAAGGTAACAAAAGGTAAAGATTGCAAATCAAACTTAGGGAGTCCTTGCTCAAGAAAATCTGTGCACTATAGATAGCTACAATAGAGGACCACTTGGGTTTAGAAATGACGTTACTAATAATTCTAGTCATTGTGGCTAATTAGAATAATCTGTTGAAGGTTATAAATTACAGATACTTTTAAAAACATTTATCTAAGAATCTGTGTAGAATTCTAAAAGGACTGAATTATTTGAAGTTATTGGTTTCTGTGTATATAAACTTAAACTATTTTTACAGCCTTTGATTATTTTTTAAAAAATGTTTTTGTACTCTTATAGCCTGATGCCATAAATGTTTTATGAATTTAATATACAGCACCTCTAGGTGCTATTTAAAACTGTTTTCCTGGTCCTTTTCTTTTGGGTTATAAGGGTTCTTTGTAACCAAGAAGATTACCTATGGTTACACTGAATGCACCCTCCCAGAGCGCGCAGGCGGCTCCTCTAGTGCGGTTATAACTCCTGTTTGCCCCTGGGTGGTTGCCAGCAGGGAGTAAGGCATTGTGGGAAGTACTTTCTTTACCTTCCACAACAGGTGTCTTTGTCAGTGCACCTTATTCAGATATCCGTGTGTGGAAGCACTGAGTCACTGTGTAGCAAAGAAAAATATGAAAGAAAGAGGAATTGCTTTCACAGCTAGAAAATGGTGCTGCAAGTAATCTGAAATCTTCTGGTGCTAGTTAATGCATGAAGACGTTCACAGTATCTTTTAAAGTACTTCTAAAAAGATAAGGAATTTAAAAGGTATGAACTGTCTGGACACCTTATAATGCCTTGTCTCCTGATTATCATCTAATTTTTACCTGGTTAGTCAGCGTCAGGATGAATGTGCAGGAAGGAAAATGTTAACGAAAATAATGCTTAACCACAAAGCAGCATTGTAGAACAAAAATGAAGTAAAAATCCTTTACTGGCTCCAACAAGGGTCAAACACAGTTTGAAGCTGTTTTAATCTTGCGGATTTATTTAAAATATTGCTTTTTTTTTTGTTTAAATAAGCTTATTAGATTTGCTTGTTTCCTAGCAATAAGGTACTTTTCCCTCCTTCCTTGTGCTCGTTCTTAGGATAAGCTACAGTGCTTTCGCAGTTGCAAAACTACTAATTACATTTAAATGGGACAAGGTGTTATATAAGTAATCATGTTACTGTAGATGAAAGAATACTTTTGGAAAACATGGGAAAATAGACAGTATAGATCTCATTCTGAGCTTTGTTTTTTGAAAAGCAAACAAATTTGGACAACATAATTCTGCTATTGGTAATGAAGACTAACCATTTCAACCGGTAGCTTATTTCTTTTGATTTTAGACAAACATTGGCAAATTGATTTCTAGTTGTAACAAATAATATTTCTAATAGTATTACAGTGTCATGATCTGGAAAAAGCAAGGAAGGTATTAACTTAATTAGGAATATTGAAAAACAACTTCAGAGAAACCTTATCTGTCTTCCCCTCATTTTTATTTGTTTAATCATTTTCCGTGAAATTAGTATACATTATATTTCCTGATCAGGCAACTTTGTAATAATGATTATGGGCAGCATTCAAACTTTTCATCTGGAAATATGGCAGTTCATTTAGAGTCTCCAGCTGTAATTTAAAAAACATTGCTGGTGGCTAAGATACCAACAGTTAATGGCTATCTACTGATTTGAATAATGAAACCTCAAACCTTAAAGAGAAAAGATGAAGAAAACTTTTATCTATGGGAGCAAAACAACCGGTTTATAAATGAGACCCTTGTATTGCTTTCTGAATAACAACACAAAACTAAATTATGCTTAAAATACTTATTTTTTTTTTTAGTAGGAAAAAGGAGTAATGATTATTAATTGATATTGCTGTCACTGTTTCATTGTCATGTGTTGTCATTTTTTTCTTTAACAGAAATACTCAGAGGGGAAAAATAATCTTTTTTTTTTTTTTGTACTTCAGGATATCATTTGTAACTGCACCAAGAATTCTTTAAATCCTGAGAAATTAAAATGGTTTTCATCTGTTTATTTTCTAAGATTTCGAAAAAGTAAGCAGTAAGAATGCTAAGAAAATTTACTTCTCCAAGAAGAATCTTCATGTAATAATACTACAGTAAGAAGATGAGCTATTATGAAAATTTTTAATTACCAAGAACATAACACAGATCATTTTTTTAAAAAATTGTTGTAAGATATTTCTAGTTAGGAAACTATTTCTTTTTTGAAGTTTAAAAGTTTCCAAAAATTGAATTTTCCAGCTTCTCTGTTAAGAATGCAGAAGGTGTTTATAGTGTATACTTCCTGCAAAGATAAGAAACCTCCTTTAGTTTCCTACTGGGGGTGAATTGCTAGCCAAGCCTGTGATAGCAGTCGCTTTTTTTTTCTTTCTCTTTTTTTCTTTCTGGATTTTTGACACTCCACCCCCTCCAACTCAGGTGGGTGTGTACACTGGCACTGAGCTGCCGTAGGATTTTTCCCTGGATAGTCTGGTCTGAAGCAGGGACAGCAGCTGCTGCTGTGGAAAGGCCAGCTGGCAAGATGATGGAAGAAATCTCCATTATGGTAGCCTATGACGCCCATGTTTTCAGCCAGCTGCATGATGAAGACTTCCTCACTAGTCTGGTGGCCATCAGCAAGCCCAGGTCTATGGTAGGTGGTGCCTTGCACACTACTCTGGGACTGTTTTTTTCTTTTCTAATATGATATCTATACTCCTGTAGCAACTGAGGCATAACTTGCTGTTGGCTTTATGTTATATCTATAGGCTTTCAAATATTTATTTACATAATTAAACACTTGTATAACAGTAGCACACTTCAAATGTTAGGCTGATGCTTTCATATATAATGAGGTTGAGAGGAATTTTATAGTGCCAAATATCACTTTGTCTTAAGTTTCTGCCTTGTATGTATGTATATAATTATTAGGTAGGGGCAGCTTATATAAACATAGAATATAATTTGTGCTCTTAGAAGTGGAACATTTCTACCAGTGAGTCTTAACATCAACTGAGAATTGAGCTACCTAAAAATCAGGTAACTTTCAGGGTCTTAAATTATCACTAAGAAGAACTATTAGGAAAACAACAGTACAATTTTAGTTTGGATTTAATATTTGTAAAAAAAAATTTTACCATTCTCTAAGGATCTTAGTGCCTGTGCATGTCCCGGCATCATCAAAAAATGAAGTTCTTGCAAGTGTTTATTGTTTCTTCTCTTAGATGTCATCATTATAATGGCTATTGAGTTTAAGATATCAACGATCTATACCTTTGAAACCAACTTTTTAACTACAGTTATAGTAACTTCTTGTTTATTATATTTAATCGGACTCATCACAAACAACTTGTTAAGTTTAAGTGTTATGAGATAATATTTCATTCCATTGTTTGTGATGTAGCTGGGATTACATATGCACAGCAGGCACCAAGTCCGGCTAATTTTTTTGAATTTTCAGTAGAGACAGGGTTTCACCATGTTGGCCAGGCTGGTCTCAAACTCCTGACCTCAGGTGATCCACTTGCCTTGGCCTCCCGAGTGCTGGGATTAAAGGTGTCAGCCGCCACCGTGCCTGGCCCCAAACTTTTAAATAATGCAGACGTTGGGATGTTAATTATAAAGCTTTCTGAAGATATATAGTTATCTTTATCAGGTTTGAAATTTTAAATAATCTTTTGGAGGTAATATTTGGTTTTGGTTCATCTGGAAAAGTTATACTAAAATTATGCAAGATAAAAATATATATCTTTTTTTTTTTTTTTTTTCATTTTTTGAGACAGAGTCTCACTCTTTCACCCAGGCTGGAGTGCAGTGGCGCAATCTAGGTTCACTGCAACCTCTGCCTCCCAGGTTCAAGTGATTGTCCTGCCTCAGCCTCCCAAGCACCTAGGACAACAGGCACACGCCACTATGCCCAGCTAATTTTTGTATTTTTAGTAGAGACAGGGTTTCACCATATTGGCCAGGCTGGTCTCAAACTCCTGACCTGTGATCTAGCCACCTCAGCCTTCTAAAGCGCTGGGATTGTAGGCGTTAGCCACCACACCCAGCTTCTTTTTTATTTTTTTTAAGATGGAGTCTCGCTCTGTCACCTAGGCTAGAGTGCAGTGGCACAATCTGGGCTGACTGCAACCTCCACCTCCTGCGTCCAAGTAATTCTCCTGCTTCAGTCTCCCCAGTAGCTGGGATTACAGGTACTAGCCACCATGCCTGTCCAATTTTTGTATTTTCAGTTGAGACAGGGTTTCACCATGTTGGCCAGGCTGGTCTTGAACTCCTGACCTCAAGTGATCTGCCTGCCTTAGCCTCCCAAAGTGCTGGGATTACAGGTGTGAGCCACCATACCTGGCCTCATTTGCTTTTAATTCCATATTAAATTTTTTACTTTGAGATGAATATTTTAAATCAAATGAAAGAAATACTCAGATTTTCCATAGTATGAAATAAATTGCTTCTCAATCTGATAACTGCACTGTGAAACAAATTACTCTTACTAATTTATAAAATCCTCCTTAGATTTGGGTTGACTATAATTAAGGGTATTTAGAAGCTTCCTTAGTACAGGCTTAATTAAATATCTTTCTGTAATTGGAATTTGTTTCAAAATGGTAGGTGTTTTGATTCATTGAATGGTAAAAATCCCATTAAATACAATGGTTCTCAGGTGTGGATACTGCATTTTTTTCTTATTCATAAGTAACCCTGTATCTTTCTTATGTTTCTAATGGGACTCTATAATAAAATATACATTTCAAACTGTTACACACAAAACCAAAAGAAAATTTGACTAAGGCCTGGGGCAGTGGCTCATGCCTGTAATCCTAGCACTTTGGGAGGCCGAAGTGGGTGGATCACCTGAGGTCAGGAGTTCAAGACCAGCCTGGCCATCATGGTGAAACCCCATCTTTAAAGAAAAAAAAAAGAAAATTTGACTAAACAATACTTACTTTTGCCACATGTTATGTTGCCACATGTTATATATGTATTTTCTGTTCTATTCAGTTGTTTAAAGGCTTTAATGGTTTATGACCCACTCAGAAATCTCTCTATCCACACTTTGGAAAATATTATATCCTATTCCTTTAAAATGAATGATGATGCAAGAAAATCACAGCTCCCTTTACATAAATTACAGATAAGAAAAAATGATAAGGAAGCCAAGTATAACTTCTCAGGTCTTCCATTTCATACACAGACAAGCAAAATAAGAAATTATGTAGACCAATATTGTTTCCTATGATAAACTAAACAAAAGCCTAGTCACTGCTAGCAGAACGTAGAGTGCAGTGGTGCAATTTCAGGTCAGTGCAACCTCCACCTCCCAGGTTCAAGCAATTCTCCTGCCTCAGCCTCCCAAGTAACTGGGATTACAGTGGCCTGCCACCACGCATGGCTAATTTTTGTATTTTTAGTAGAGATGGGGTTTCGCCATGTTAGCCAAGCTGGTCGCAAACTCCTGACCTCAAGTGAATTGCCCGCCTCAGCCTCCCAAAGTGCTGGCATTACAGTCATCAGCTACCATGTCCAGCCTGAATATCTCTTCTTTTTTTTTTTTTGAGATGGAGCTTCGCTCTGTTGCCCAGACTGGAGTGCAGTGGCTCGATTTCAGCTCACTGCAACCTCTGCCTCCCAGGTTCAAACAGTTCTCTTACCTCAGCCTCCCGAGTAGCTAGGACTTCAGGCATTCACCAACATGCCCGGCTAATTTTTGTATTTTTAGTAGAGGCAGGGTTTCACCATGTTGGCCAAACTGGTTCAAACTCCTGACCTCAGGTGATCCACCTGCCTCGGTCTCCCAAAGTGCTAGGATTACAGGTGTGAGCCACGTGCCCTGCTAAGGTGACCTCACAGTCCAGTAAGCAAGAAAAGCAAAATAAATACTTACAAGGGTGCTATTTGTTATCACAGGGTAGAACCAAGTGGAAAATACTTACCACTTATTTAACAGTGTGAAAGAAGCCTTTAAAAGGGGTCGATGGGTTACAGTGCTTAACTGTGGCTTTGAAGGCTGACCAGGGCTTGCCAGCCAGAAAAAGGGGATAGAACCTTTCTGAGCCAAAGGGAACAACTTATACAAAGACTCAAAGGTTGATAACTATTGGGAGTTTCAAAGTTACTCTGTGCTCAGTTCATTTTAGATTTGCCACTTACCAGTGAGCTGCTTAACGTCTCTAAGCCTTAGTTTTCTCATCTGAAAGCTGAGAGACGTAATAGTACTACCTTATTGGATTACTCTGAGGTTAATTGAGAGCACTTGTAAATATTTACCATAGTGAAAACTGTAACTAATTGTCTCCTTTTCTAATAAGGGAAGGAAGGGCTCTTCAGACTATTTAGAGAAGATCTAAAGGAAGAAGTGGGATGAATAGATAAGGCACCCTGGAGACGCAGGAGAACGGGGGACGGTTACCCTGGAGAATTAATTTGCTTGATTAGGGAATCACTATCAGGCTATCAGTCCTACAGGAAACTTGAAGACTTCCGCCCTGAAGATGGTGCCAAAGATCTTAGGTTTGAGCTCAGGACAGTGGGAAGGCAATGTAGAACCAATAGAAGGGAGTATATATAGGCCAGATCTTCTGCTGAGTAGATGAGATCAATTACTGCAGCAGGAGTCTTGCAGTAATGGACTGGCAGGGCCCACATTGACCAAGGAAAAAAAAATTGTAGAGGACATCAGAGCAAGGCAAGTGAAAAGAGATGACAAGTGTCTGGACTTAGACACTTGACAGTGGCAGTGTAAAGAGATTAGTCTACATATGTTGATTAGTTCTTTCAAAGGGTATTACGTTAATATTGCTTAGGAAGAAGCAGCAACTGATGTATATGAGAAGAGTAAATGATTAAGTTGAAAATTAAGCTTCCAGCCATACAAAAATGGAGATTGTTATGGTGTCAGCAGTGTTTGGGAATGGGAAAGTTAGGTTATCAAGAATAGAATGGAGGAAAAGTGACCCATTCTGGCTTTACCATGTTCCACATCCAGAAATACAAGGTCACAGTGTCACAGTAGGAGAATTGATTGTCCAGTGGTTAAAACACTGTCCTTTTACAAAAGCCGTTTAACCAGACTAACACATGGCTATACTATATTGGCACTGGGTAGATATTCTTAACTGACAGACACCAAAATAGCAGCACTGTGCCAGCAAAGGAAGGGAGCTCTTTCTTGTAGCTACAGTTTCTCTGTTCTATAAATGGGAGATGAGGGTAAGCATTCTGTAATTACTTCCTCCTTATCAGATTGGCACAGAGATTTCTTCAAGCATGCCAAATTAAAAAACAAAATTCAGAGCAATTCTGTATGTCAGAGATGGGGAAAACAATAAAATCAATACTGTTATTTCTAAATCTTTACTAGATATACATTTCAAACATTGATTAGAATAAACATAACAAGATTCATATTTTTAAAAAATGTTATCTGAATATTTTTTGTTCTCATTGTTACATAGCATGTGCATATTTTGGCAGTACTTTCTAAGTTTCAGTTCAGTCCAAGCATATAGCCGATCATTTCATTGATCAGTTCTGATGAGTTAAGGTTCTTATAGTTGCAAGTAATAAAATCTTGTGCTATCTTAAACAAAAAAGGTATTTTATCACGAGGACAACAAGGTGTGTTTCTTTAAATACAAGGGCAGTTCGTCT